AGCTCTCACTTTATGGAACATGTTCTTTAAAAATTATGGTGTTCTTTCAAAAATTGAAAGAGGAAACATCATTTCTAGAGTGAATTATGTTTCAAACTTCTGTGATTTCAGAATTCTTGTTATTATTATTATTTTTTTTTTAATTTTATTTTATCAATTTAAAATTCTAGCTGAAGCAAGCCAGTCATTGGCGAATTTTTTTTATTTTGAAATGAGAACAGAAAAATCATGAGTATTTTTTCCTTTCCAATGAACAAGAAAAGTATCTTTAGAACATAATTCTGCAGGAAAAAAAAAAAGAAAAAGAATATTATTTGCTTTTGTACAGTAGGGAACTGATTATCCAGAACGATCTGGACCATCGCTATTCCGGATAACTGATTTTTTTTTCCGGTTGTCTGAATCACTACAAAAAGCCGTTTTTTTTATTCTTAAACCCAACTAAAAAAAATAATATTTGGAAATAATCTTAAAAAGAAGAAAAAACGAAGTAATACACTAATGATTATTTCCAAAATGATAGTAAGGTAAACATCTTTCCAAAAAGAAAGAAAAATCCTAAAATCTTAGGAGGAAAAAAAAAAATTTTTTCTTTCAGAAAGGGTGGGAAAATGTATCGAATTTCATTCCGGTTTTTTGGTTTTCTGATTTCCGGATAACGGGTTCTGTACTGTATTTTTTTCCACCTATTTTATTGCTTCTACTCTTTCTTTACTCTGTTTTTTAAATTTAAAATCCATAAATATGAAGATACAGGTTACAACAGTTTTGGTTATACCTATCATTAAAATTAATGTTATTATAATGCTTTTTTAAATTTATTGTTGCGTTTTTGCCGGAGAAAATAGTGACTTCTTTAAGTCATGAAAAATTTTGGAATTAGTCATGGAAAATCATGAATTTGAAAATCTGAACTGTAGCAGATACCCTGTATGTAACTTTTATAATTTTATTTTTATGTACATAATATTTATAATTTTATTTTAATATGTGTAACATTTATAATTTTAACAGAGCTGTCTAGACAGAGGCTTGTTAGATGCATCAGAAACTGCTAGTCAAAGTGATGCATGGAGTGTTGATGTACTTGCATCTGATACAGAAAGATTACAGGATTTAGATACAGATGATACTGCGAGTGTAGCTCGATCAGATGATACAGCACGTTCAGAAGTGGATGGTGAGATGGGAGCTGGTGTCGATGATGCTCGATTGGACAGAAAAGATATTTTAGACTCTGATGGCATGAGAGGTTTGACTTTTTTAAAAATTGATGATACAGTAACCCTACTTAAAAATCTAATGGCTATGTTGTTAAAGCAGTTTTTAAAAGGTAGGAGCATAACACAGATATAAACTTAAAGCTCTGACAATAGTTAAATTCATTGTAAACTTTTTAAGAGTAAATCGATATATTGGTTTAGTGACAGGAGTTAACACGAGTTTTAGCAAGACATATTTTATAATACCTTTAAAAAATCCTTTTTCCAATGGAATGGGCCATTTTGGACATTCACATTGTTGACTCAACCAGAAAAAAAAAATCTTCTTAAATAAATTAGTTTCCAAAGAAAATTACAAAAATTAAGTTTAAGTTGGAAAATTAATGGACAAATCCGCGTAACAGATAACAGCACTACAAAGTTATATTTAGATGTGTGAAAGATTTTTAAAAAAAATTTATTGTTATGAATGTCCAAAGGTAACAATTGGAACAGCTCTGTTATTTTAGCCAAAAATAAATTAAGTAAGCACTTTAAACTTATTTATCCATACTTAAAATGATTTTTCAACTATTTCAAAGTATTTTCTAATGTTTTTAGGAAATACTTTTTCAATAAAAACTTCATTTTCTTAGACATAAAATAGTAAGTAATCCAAATCAAATAACCAATGCCAACAGTTTTTCCCATAAAACTGTAGTTGATTTGATATCCTAAAATTCAATGAAAAAGTTATTAGGGTGTTTTTGAATAAATTTATTATTCTTTCTAATGACAAGAATTAACATAAATTATTGTAATATTTTTCTTTAAATTCCTCAAAAAAAAATTTTTAAACCAATAAGGCTAATTTGAAGCATTTATGAAGTTAACTGGTCCAATGTAACATCATCAAAAAAAATTTTTTTTAAACAAATCGAGATGTTTACAAACAAAAATTAGTTTAAATAGGACCTTTGCTTCATATTATCTTTAACAAATGGCTACAAATTATATTTAGTGTTTTGATCCATATTTAAAATAATTTTGCATGTATTTAAGTATTTTCTTAGCTGTGAAAGATATTGTAAGGAACAAAATGTCCATAATTCAAAATTTCCTACAAGTTTCAAAAAACTTCACCCAACTTCTTCCGAAATAACTATGTGATTTTTTTTTTTTAATTGCTCTAGATTCGCGCCAAATTTTTGTTTCTGAATTGAAGAAAGTGGTTGATTTACTACTTTAAAAAATTTTAATTTCTAATTGCAATTCCAGATAAATTAAAATATATATATATATTGCTTCAAAACCATTTAAAATAGGTGCTCCAAAAATCACTATAATACTTAATCCCGTCACTGTTGATAAAATGTGTGTGTTAAAAAACATTTACTTATCTTTTTTTTTTTTTTTTTTAGAGGGTGGGTTTCACCATGCTGCCCAGGCTGGTCTTGAATTCCTG